GAGAGAACAAATAAAAACTCAAGTGCTAGTCTAGAAGACCGAGAATAGCAAAGTATCTTCAATAATTTGAAGGGTACAAGGGTGTGGGAGTAGCAAGAGTTCAGAGTGGGAGGTTATTCACTCAGAAAGGTGAGTGGACGATAAAGGGGAAAAGAAGAAAAATGTAACAGTCATGGAGCAGTTTTTTAGTAGAAGGAAGTGAGACACAAGCCAATGTGTGTTTTAGAAAGATCGCTCTGTCTACATTCAACACAGAGAACCATTTGCAGGGACTCAAGTTACTTGGTAAATGCTCTTGAGTGGACCAAAGGAAGAATGGAACCCTGTTTAAGATGCTACATACATTGACAAATGAAGTAACTATGTCCAGACTAAGTTACATTGCCAACATTATAAGGGACAAGTACACCAAGAAAAGTAACATTAAAAACCCTTACATCTTTCATGACTACCCCAGTATTACAGGGGACCAATTACAGCTCACTTTCCACAATCCTCTGCTCAATGTCCCCTGCCCTGCACATCCACTCCCACCTGAACAGCCTGGCTTCTCCTGACACGTGCTGTCTCCTGGGGCCTCTTGGAGCCCTCTGTTCATCAGTCTGCCAAGTCCTCCCCCCATGTGGCTCCATGAAATGATTGTATTGGGACCAGAGCATTCACAATCCTGTCAGTGTTGGCATGCCATGACTGTCTTCTGAACCATCGCAGGTCAGAGACTCTGCCATTTGTGCCTTCACTTCCTCTCAAAGAGCCATAACTGACGTGAGCACACCACCTCCAAGGGCTGCCAACTTCTCACACATTTCTGTCTTTAATTGGATTTTGATCATCTAGGGACTATCAAAGATTTATGACTTGAACTTTGTGATTCCCGTCATACCTGGCCTACAGTACCTCATATAATACTGGTAGAGAGAGAAAGAGAGGACAAAGAGAAAGAGAGAGAAGAGAAGAGAGAGATGTACAACATGTTTTTATATTTCCCAGTTATAGGAGAAGGCATTTGAACTCTTTCCTCCCCTAAAGAACAAAAAGAAAGAAAGAAACTTAAGCTCAATGATCCCTTTGGTCATCTGTGGCCCCGGGACTCAATGACAGGTGCAATAGTAAACACCAAGTGAGCTCCTTTAATATCTACTTCATCTGGTGATTCCCCTTTTTAAAAA